GGACAGTATTTCATGCCGGCACACCGCCTGCAACTTTACAAGGCGCAGGTTCGGCCGCTCATGGAATACTGTTCCCATCTCTGGGCTGGGGCTCCCCAGTACCAGCTCCTTCCACTTGACCGCATCCAGCGCAGAGCGGCTCGAATCGTCGACGACCGAGTGCTTTCCGATCGGCTCGATTCACTGGCGCTGCGAAGAGATGTTGCATCTCTTTGCGTATTTTATCGCATCTATCACGGGGAGTGCTCTGAGGAATTGTTCGGATTAATCCCAGCCGCCAAATTTCGTGAACGCACTACACGGCAAACGTCCCGATACCATCCACACCATCTGGATGCTTGGCGGTCCACCACTGTACGTTTCAAAAGGAGTTTTCTTCCGCGTACAACCTCTCTGTGGAATAATTTACCACCGGTGATTTTTCCGGACCGATACGACCTGGGGACCTTCAAGAAAAGAGCTTACTCCTTTCTAAAGGGCCGGCAACGCACCTGCAATTCCCCTGGTGTTGCGGTTGATCATGGGCGGCGGTAGTCACTTAACATCAGGTGAGCCACATGCTCGTTTGCCCCCTCTTCTATAAAAAAAAAAAAAATAAAAAAAGCATTAACACCTCGCTGGAGCTTTGCTCGGCTTTGCCTTCGGGATTTTGTAAGACAAAAAAAAATGAAAAATAGAAAGATTATCTCGGTTTGAAATAAAACACAAAACATTTTATTTAGTATCTGTTTTCCTTTAAGTCGTTGAATACTAAATAAGATATTCATGCGACAAAGAAACTACATTTTTCTTTTATCTTAGCAGTTGGATGCAACAATAAAAATATACCAGCTTTTTTTATTCCAAGACAAAGAAGATAGACGGAGCGCTGCGTATATTTCAAATGACACCATAACTGAGCCGAAACCGTATTCAACTTTATTGTAAGAACACACACTCACGCAAACATATTATGCACCTTAAATAATTTGCAACTAACAACATGATTTTAAATTTAAATGCCTTCATCTGCACGTTTATTTAGTTTTACGGACTGTCAAATTAAAAATAATTAAAGAAGTGTGAGTTCAAGCAATCAAGCACGATTTGGCGGCGCTTAAGATGTACGCCTCGTTCCGTTATGGATATAGTTCAATTGGTAGGGTTTCTTTTAACCCATTTTTTCAAAAGAAGTGCACACATATAAATAAATTTTGATGTGTCTGTCTATATTATCGAAATGACTAACAGGTATTGAGTTGAGGGGGTATTTGCTTACCATTAATACATCAACTATTTTTAGTTTTTTTGTCTGTCTGTATTTCTGGGATAACCTTTATAATGGCTGAACAGATTGCAATAAAACTTGACTAACAGATAGATAACAATTTCAGGAGTGATCAAGGCTATATTATACCAGAAAAATTTATATAACCTTTTTAATAAATCGAAAAAATTATAAAATTAGTGGTCTTTGAGGGTCATTTAAAAACTAAATAACGTTTTTCACATTAGGAGATCCTACCCAGGCATATTACATTTGGAGATCCTACCTAGGCGAAACCGAGCGGGTTGGATAGTCAGAATATAACTTTAAAAACGGATATTCATGTTTTAATGGTAATTAAATAACATCGTCAGCTTAATAAAAGCTAGTTACTTCGATATTACAGATAGAAACTTCAATTTTATTAATATTATTATAAATGAAATTGAATAGATAAACAGATGCGTTATGATCATGTAGTATCGGTGTAAGAATATCCACTACCCACACAATCCCGTGGATGTCAAAAGAGGCGAAAGAGGGAAACAATTCAGGAGATGGGCAGCAGCGTCTTCATAATAACGATTAAATATAAAGAACTCCGGTCACCAAACCCACTTGTAAAGGGTGGCATCTACAGGGCAATCTATTGGGGCGGCTTATGTTCTGTAGTGGACTTTTATGTGTTGTAACGGTAACCGTAAATTATTATTATATTATTAAAACCAAAATTCGAGCAATACTGTATGTATAACAGTTGTTTTATTTGATGTATTATTCTTAATCTCGCATCAGTTTGAATAAATAAATTCGAAACCGTCTTCCGTTAAATCCTTAAAAGGATAAGGGATGTGTAGTCCCAACTACTCATTTACATAACCCTACGTGACTTCGTCGGAACAGTTTAACTGTTTATTACATGTCCCTAAACTTCTTAGAATAGCTATAATAGTTACCTACTGTTTCAATGGGCTTTTAAATATGTAACGCGTATTGATATCACCATTTATTACTGAGAGCTCAGATGTCTAAAACTTGGTAGAACCACGCTGCAGCTATATTTTGATTGGAAAAGACGCTAGTATTTTCTGAGAGTGTCTCACGGGATACCAGCGTGAAATAGTAGCTTTATGCTGATGTGTTTCATATTATGAAGAGTGTAAAGATCTGAAGACTATTTTACTAGAAACGAGGCATTCCAACTTAGTTGATAGTGTTGGTGGAGAAAAGATATCTGCAAGTATGGTCACCTTAAATCGGTTAACTTGTTAACAATCGCAGTGTGATCCCAAAGAACCCACTCTCCCACGATTACAATGAGTCACACAATCACGATCACAAACCTTATAAAATTATTTATTTAGTACAAACAATTGTGGCAATATTAAAAATTATCGTCCGCATCAGGATCTTGATTTTTGTCATTTCTTGTGAGAAGGCCCATGTTCAGTGAACGTATGACAGACTGTAATGTTGATGATGATGAATTTTGTTTAAACATTAAATGTAGTTTTCATAATTATATTGATTACCGGCAACATTAATTCCGCCTGAAATTATGCTTGTAACCATCTGTCGTGTCTGTTTTCGTATGCCACATTAAAGTTTCACGTCATACCTAACATCCTTTATGACTTTTCAATTTATAAAAATATATAGTCCACTTATATTCACACTGGCCTTCACACGGATAATTTCTAAGGATCGAAATTAAAACTAAAACAACAAAAGTTATAATAGTGTAATAAAACTTTATAAAATTTTATCCTTAAATTAGGTTTTAGATATTATTTATTTCTCAATAGATTACAAATCGCTTACGAGAAATTAAAAATTTACAAACAATAATAAAGGAATCCATTACAAGCATACAGAATATTAACTATAGATGTGGGTAAAACGTAAACAACTAAAAGAACAGTAAACATAGGTTTGAACATCGCGCATAATTTGTAATGACCGAACAATTAATGCAACCGAAACAGAAATAAGGGTGTGTACAAACTAAGTTAGATTTAATTTTAGCTTGTAAATAATGAATAGTAGCAATTAAGGTCTATGAAAACCTAATCATGCCTAATGGAGTTAAAATTGTAATGAATTGATCGTCTATAACGGTAATTCCAAAAAAAATAATGGCAAGTTTTGTATGCATTCAACCAAGATGTATGGTGCTTATAAAAAAACAAAGCATGGATGTAATTGATATTGCTTGAATTTTGTCACCAAATGTAGATTTAAAATATCAATCAATATCTTTGATTGATTTTGTCTGATTCCTTTTATTAATAACAAGTGACCCACCCTGGCAACGTCTGGATAGAGTCTATGAATGTGGCGTTATTTACAGTTAAGGGGAGGCTATTTTCAGTAGTGCTGGGAGCAACAGTGGTGCAGTACTTTTAAAGGTTGTAATGGATGGATGGATGGGAAAATAAACTATTTTATAATTTAAAGAGTAAGAAATAACAAAATTTATATTCTTGGTATAAAAACCATGATGTTGTTACATGTCAACATAGCTCAACAAGTATATACAAATTATTCACCATAATTTCAACAGACCTCTGCAAGACAAGGGCTTCACATCTTTTTCTATACATAATAAAGGTAACAAACGAACACACAGTAAACCAATTTCTGAGCAGATGTTGCGGCCAATGGACAGCTACATTTATCCTCGATTAAGGATCAAAATGCAAATGCGTTGGCATGACTAAGGACTAAAATGGAATGCCTCGTTTCCAGTAATAGGTGTCCGGTTATTTACACTCTTCATACGAAACACAGCAGCACTAAAATTTACGCTTTTATTTTGTGAGAGTGTGGTCCGTCTCCAGTCGAGCCGACCTATTAGTGTTTCTACAATAGTATCTTTCAGACAGTTTTGCGATCACGGCGGCCACGAGTCATTCAGTCTTTAGGGGTGACAAAGTATCAGCATTTTGATTATTCGAGGATAGATACAGATTACCATAGCCTTCAACATCCACTTACCATCAGATATAGATATTCATTCCATAAAGGTATTGTTTATAGAATGTTTATTTTTATTTAAAGTTAAATGTTTTATAAATTCTTTTTTGAAAACGAATTTTTTTCAAATTTTCTTCGAGCGTTTTCACTTCTATAATTTTATGCAAAGAAACTTCGATGTTCTATTTGGCAGCATACCAAACAATATTTAATTTTTACGCTTACATTGTGAAACGTTGAGTGAACTACGTCATTTGGCATGGAAATAAACACTCCGTCGCATTAAAAATCATAAGGATTAAAAAAAACATTGTAACTTTTTTCTTATAAGTCGAATCTATCCCTTATGGTCGAAAATAACAAAACCACTTACATAACATCTCTTTCCGTTAGTGTTTTAAATATTACAATACACAAAATTTCCTTACAACACTTACAGAAATTTTCTTTTCATAGCTATTTGATATTCCGTTCCTCGGGATAAGCTTCTTGACTCTAACGCATTTACATATATTTAGTTGATTTAGGCAGCCTTGTTTTAAACATAACAAGTCCCAAAATCTCCTCTGGGATAACCTGAATGTTCTTCGTGACACAATTTACGTCGGTTTACTTTGGTCAACTTATTCAATGCGCAAAAATACTTGAGCTCCTTCCCCGTTCACTACACCGTGTTTTTTAGCAAAATTATTGTCACATGTTTAAAAAGCTTATGGCCTTTTCTACGATTGCCTTTAATAACGTTCTTCTTCTTCTTCTTTGCCCTCGCCTCTTCCCGTTACGCGGGGTCGGCTTTCTTAATCCTTCGGCGCCATTCAATTCGCTGGTAAGCATCATCTTCTGTAAGGCCGAGCTTTAGCATGTCCTTCCGGACATTTGTCAACCAGGTAGTTTGCGGTCTACCTCTCCCTCTCCTTTTTGTAGCCATGGAAAGGCACTTTTTCACGACGTGGTCATCGGGTCTACGCATAACATGTCCGTACCACCTTAGCCTGGACTCTGTAATCTTATCAGTGATAGGCGTTACTTTGAAACTCCCCCTTACGTGTTCGTTACGCACTTTGTCTTTGAGAGTGACTCCACCCGCCCAACGTAACATGCGCATTTCAGTGGCATGAAGTTTTTGCTCATGGATTTTTGTCGAAGCCCACGTTTCGCTACCATACAGTAAAACAGGCCTCACAGCTGTTTTATAGACCTTGCCTTTGGTTCTTATCGGCATTTTTGGATCGCAGAGGACTCCCGTTAATGTACGCCACTTATTCCACCCAGACATCGTTTATCGTCGCCTTTAATAACGTTCAACTTATATAAAATACTAGCTGCTGCCCGCGACTTCGTACGCGGATGATGTTGCTTATGCCAGCGACAACGAGGTCTTCAAAATCGAAGATCTGAAACGTCTGATGTCGAATTCTAAGAGCCAGGGGACGGGAAAGTAACGTGATGCGCGAGACGATTCGAAACGTTCCAGATCTTTCATTTTTGTAAGTCAACACGAAATGCCCATCAGACTAAACAACTTTTACTAAGACGTCATTCCTATATATGTTATAATGTCGCTGGACTCTGGAGTTCCACAACAGGTGTTCCAGATCTTCAAATTTATTCTCACAGCAGAAAAAAACGTGGAATAGTTTTTGCTATGGCACCATTTTTATATCTCTTATACTTTAGCTGGTCTGTTGCGGTGCTGCATCAGGTGTTCCATTTTCCAAAATAAATTATAGCCTATATGTTACCTTGACTTAACAGCTATACAAAAAAAAAAACTTTTTATCCCGTATATTTCACCGATCTGGTGCGGAATGCACCGGATCCCAAGGGTACACTGAATTAACAATAATATTGCAAATCACTTTAAAACAATCTTTATAAACTATAGTTGTAAAATGAAAAGTAATCGAATAAGTACGTAAGAATTGCTAGTAAGTAGAAAAAAAATAATTATTCGCAGGAAAATTAAACACATCAACCAACACACACAACAAAGGTAACCCCCGTTTCTATAGGATGAGAGCGGCCCATCGGCACCTATAACATCACTTTTTGAGAAACGAAACCATAGTGCGATATAACTCGACGCCAACGCCATCTAGTTAGTAAACGGAAACTACATATTATTTACCCAAATAAATTATTAAATTATGAATTAAAACTAAATTGTCGTTAATTTAATAGACAAGTACATTATTTTTGCATTAAAAAATATGGTAACAGCAGCAAGGAACAAAAGTAAGAATTACATACTTAAATGTAAAGTTCTCAGATTTCCTAATGCACATAAAAAGTGCAAAGATTAAACAAAAATTACGATTTTTCAAAATAATATTACGAGATTTAAACTCTCACCATTTAATGCGGTAAACGGTCGCCTGACCTTACCGCTAAATTCCCCGTTGACATACTGTTAAACAGCTGTTTCCTTGCAATTTATAATACTACTGCCCCGCTGCTTTATAAAAATAGCGTGATTATTATGTTCCCAGAGTTAAATTTTTATTTTTATGTTAACTAATAACATGTCATTTTGTGCATTCAATTATTTTGTACATTCAATTACGAATAAAAACTTTTTAAAATCAATACTGCTTATCTCCTATAACATACGGCGTGATAATATGTAGCCTAAAGATTTCCTTGGTTTACAAAGAACATTTTTGCTGAATTTCAATTCAATCTATGCAGTAGTTTTGGCGTGAAGCCGTACCATACACACAGACGAACAGACAAACGGACAAAAATTCTAAAAAGTCACTTTTTGTCATCAGTTACGTTTTTCTAACAAAAGCCACTTATTTTTTCTCGAAAATACTCAATGTACAGTTTTTCTTTCGTGACTGTTTTATTATTTGTATAAAAGATATGTTAGTGATTAACAATATGCCTACAACGGATTTTAACCTTATGTTTAGTAGTGTCACCTACTGGTAAATAGCTAAAATGTTTTCTAAGTAAATATTCAGTGTAGTATTGCTATATTTCGCTAGAGGGTGTAATACATGCGCGTGGTCACAGCTTTTGTATGAAAATGTTCTATTTTTAAAGAAAATATGCGTGGTTTTGCATTAAAGTATTGTAAATCACGATATGGAGCAAAAAATTAGCGTGATTTCGGTTTATTATGGTAAGAATAATGTGTATTTACCAAATAATCTTTAAATGTTATTATTTCTAGTATATTGTTCGAGAAGAAAGAAAAATTATTGTAATAAGTGCCTTCTGTTATCCAGTAACGTCACTATTTGTTTACATATATGTTAGTGATTAACGATGTGCCTACATCGGATTTTAACCTTATGTTTAGTAGTGTCACCTACTGGGAAATAGCTAAAATGTTTTCTAAATAAATATTCAGTGTAGTATTGCTATATTTCGCTAGAGGGTGTATAATACATGCGCGTGGTCACAGCTTTTGTATGAAAATGTTCTATTTTTAAAGAAAATATGCCTGGTTCTGCATTAAAGTATTATAAATCACGATATGGAGCAAAAAATGAACGTGATTTCGGTTTATTATCGTAAGAATAACGTGTATTTACTTCTTTCTCTTCTCTTTCTCTTTAAATGATTATTGTGTGCATTCAATTACGAAGAAAAATTTTTTAAAATCAATATTGCTTACTCCTATAATATACGGCGTGATAATATGTAGCCTAAAGTCTTCCTTGGTAAACAAAGAACATTTTTGCTTAATTTCAATTCAATCTATCCAGTAGTTTTGGCGTGAAGCCGTACCATACACACAGACAAACAGACAAACAGACAAAAATTGTAAAAAGTCACTTTTTATCATCAGTTACGTTTTTTCTAATAAAAGCCACTTATTTTTTCTCGAAAATTCTCAATGTACAATTTTTCTTTCGTTACTGTTTTATTACATGTATAGAAGATCAGGGTGGCCCTTCATACAACTTTAACGAAAATAATTATATCAAAACTATTAGTTGGTTATAATTGTTTTCAATGATGCATCTTGAAACCAAGACAACGTTAACTTTTTTACTGAAGTAAGTTGCTTAATAATAGCGTAAAATAGCAGCAAAATGCAATTGTGTTTCGTCTTGTGAGTGTAGCGAATAGGAGATTCGTTTTACTGGATACGAGGTATTCCATTGAAATAATACTAGTTTCTACGGAATTTATCGCGTATATTTAACTTTTTAATTACCCGACGTTTCGAGAGCTTTACAGCACCCATGGTCACGGGAAGGACTGAGATGTTCAACGTCCAGCTGTCATAGTTAACCGCGGTTACCATAGATTAAAATTTAACTTTTGTTCCGATCTACACAGTATGAACTTATGGTATCATGGAGTCTTGCAGTTGTATGCTTGGGTTGGGATTTAATTTTATTTATTATAGGATCCCAAGCAGATGGTAGCACCCAGCCATCTTCTCTATTGAAATTAGGATGTTTTTTGATTTCAATAGCCTCGCGAATCATCCGTGGAAGTAATCGGTGTTCTTTAGCGAGGATTTGTGGTTTGTTTCCATCAAAACATACTTCAAGCTGCCGAAGAAGATTGGTCAGTTTTTACCATCAGTCAAGTGTAACGTCCCTCTGCAAGATGAAGGAGTGTACAAGCTTGATTGTGAATGTGGTCTCTCCTACATAGGACAAACTAAAAGATCCATTAAAACCCGCGTCAAAGAACATATAGCTGATGTGAAGAATCGACGCTCCGGGAAGTCTGCAGTCTGTGAACATGTACAGGATCGCCCCTGTCACTACATCAGATTTGATAGACCACAAATCCTCGCTAAAGAACACCGATTCCTTCCAAGGATGATTCGCGAGGCTATTGAAATCAAAAAACATCCTAATTTCAATAGAGAAGATGGCTGGGTGCTACCATCTGCTTGGGATCCTATAATAAATAAAATTAAATCCCAACCCAAGCATACAACTGCAAGACTCCATGATACCATAAGTTCATACTGTGTAGATCGGAACAAAAGTTAAATTTTAATCTATGGTAACCGCGGTTAACTATGACAGCTGGACGTTGAACATCTCAGTCCTTCCCGTGACCATGGGTGCCGTAAAGCTCTCGTAACGTCGGGTAATTAAAAGTTAAATATACGCGATAAATTCCGTAAAAACTAGTATTATTTCAATGTGTAGTGTTCGCGTAAATATAAGAAATCATTATGAGGTATTCCATCTGAGTCCTCAGAGGTGAAGACGCATCTGTATTTTGAATCTTAATCGTGGACAAATGTAGATGACCATCAGGTGGACAGTGTGCTCGTTTTTCATGGCCACATTCTATAAAAAAGTTGATAAACGAGCACACAGTCCATTTGATAAGAAGTGATTTTTGTGGCAAACCTATAACTATTATCGATGAAGAATCAAAATGCAGATGCGTTGTCAACCCTGACGACTTAGCCTTGATCGCCACTGATTAAGTATAAATTGGGCGACAGTCCAAATTCCATATAAAATCCAATAATTTTACCGACTTTTGTTTTATTGACAGTTTGGCTTCAGATTTTCTTCAACGTTTCTCAACTGGATAATAACCAGTTGAGAAACGTAACGTTTTATTGCCTTTCACGGTCCAATTAAAAGCAATTTATACAAAAATATATGTATTAATTGTATATATAAAAATATATGTATTACATGTATTAATATGTAAAAATATAAATATGTATTATTGTGTCCAGTTTTTAAATTTAATTTAATATATTTGGTTAATTTTTTATGTTTTTGTATTTGAGTTCAGTTTATTTTCAATAGAGAAACGGAACATTTTATTTTCTTCTAAGCCCAAAATAATATAAAACTACATATATATGCAAAATAAATTATAAAATATTTGTTACGTATTATTGTGGGACACACCTTTTAAAAATTAAAAAGTAAAATTAAAACTATTTAATATTAATCGATACGTAATAAACCGTTAGTAATTATTAGTATTTAAATTATAATAAAATTGTTTCTTTTTCATATAAAGATATTTTCTTTATAAAATTTTATCTATACCATTCATAATGTAATAAGATAGTAAGAATAATGTAATGAGTTTTTTTTTTGTTTGTACACGCTAGTCTCTGGACTACTAGACCGATTTAAGAAAATTATATTTTTGTGTAATATAGCCAGATTTATGAGGAATATCAAAGGCTATAAAACATTAGGTTATCCTTCTCGGGTAGCCTTAAATATTGATTGTTATTAGGTGAGTCAGAAGAAAAAACGCTCCCGAAATTATTTATCCACGTGCGCTGGTATAATATGGCTATGGGGTAAAGGTTAATGT